TATTTAAATTTACAAAACAGCAAAAAATTTAAGCCTCATTTACAACAACTTTTTGACGATTTCTTTAAGAGGAGAACTGTAAATGCCTTTTTCTTTCAAGTTCGATTGCCCCTAAAAAATAATATTTTTATAAAATCGTAGCATCTATTACGGGCTTTTGTGCTTTCTTTACTTTAAGTCTTTTTATACCCGTACGAACGTGTGTTCGAAGGGTGTACTAAATTTGCCTTACCGTTTGTAACACTAAGAAATAATGGTCAGAGATATAGACTCAAGTGTATGTTTTTGATCAGCGTCGAATTCTGAGTCGATTTAACCTTGTATATCCTTCCGTCCAAGCGATAACTCAAAAACTAATTGATCTAAGTTCACCAAAATTTCACAAATGATTTATTGTAGTAAGTGCCAGAACCCTCTTTAAATTGGACATGATCGGGGTACTGGTTCGGGTAGCTGCCATACAACTTCAAAATTTATTCGGCTATATCTCAGAAACTGTAAAAATTATGTTAGTAATGTTACAAGTTAAAAGTTATATTAGTAGGACCAATGTGTTTGATAAAAATCGTTGAAATTGCTTGGCTCCTTCCGGTAGCTGCCATACTATAACTTCAAAAGTTATTAAGCTACATCTCAGAAACTATGAAAGCTGTGATGTGGAAATTTCACACAAACGAATTTTCGTTGAAATTGTTTGGCTCCTACTGGTAGCTTACAAACAACTTGAAAAGTTATTTGGCTTTATCTTAAAAACTGTATAAAAAAATTTTGAAAAATAAAACACGGTAAAATGGCAGGTATATTTATTAAAAGCTTTTGAGATCTAATGAGCACTTGTGATAGCTGCCATACAATTCTAAGAGTTATTTGGCTATATCTCAGAAACTATAAAAGTTATGGTATTGAAATTTCACACAAACGAATATATTAGTAGGGCCAATATGCCACAAAAAAGTCGTTGAAATTACTTGGCTCCTTCTGGTACCTGCCATACACCTTCAAAAATTATTTGGCTATATTTCAGAAACTATTAAAGGTATAGTATTGAAATTTCACACAAATTAATATATTAGTAGGGCCAATGTGTCACATAAAAATCGTTGAAATCTCTTGGCTCTTTCTGGTACCTGCAATACAACTTCAAAAGTTATTTGGCTATATCTCAGAAACTATTAAAGCTATGGTATTGAAATTTCACATAAGCGAATATATTAGCAGGACCAATGTGTTTGATTAATGTTGCTGAAATTGCTTGGCTCTTTCGGGTAGCAGCCATACAACTCCAAAAGTTATTTGGCATTATCTCAAGTTATTGAAACTATAATATAGAAATCTCGTGAAACAAGGGTATTATTAGGGCTGTCATGTGTGATAAAAATCATTGAAATTTCTTGGCTCGTTTGATATAGAAAATATTGAAAAAACAGTACTGAACTTTTGCATAACTTAATATGGTAATATGACAGCTTAAAGTCATAGTCTGTCCCATAGTCAGCTGTGGCATATTTCTTCGCACATATAAATTCGTACGGGTATCACAGAGCTGATACAGTTAACTTTATTTTTTCTCGTTTTTGTTATAAATGTATTTAGTCATTTTGAACAAAAAAAATTTCAACATCAGCATGAGATTAACAAATGAATAACACGATAGTATGAAATAATACTTTGCTTTGAAAACCATTCTTATATACCTACTTTCAATGAGTGATGATTTTCTTTGTTTATACTTAATTATTTTAGTTCAACGTAACTTCATAACGGAGTTTCCATGGCAAAAAATGAATTTGAACTTGAAAATTTGTAGGCGAACTAATAAATTTATAATTTATAAAGTTAAATATTTTAATATTATCATCTGTTAATTTTATCTGCCATGTAATTTTCGAGATGTAATATGGATTCATATTAGCTTTCATGATACACTAAATGTGCTACAATTTTTTTAGAACACAATTACAATTCAATATTCTTATATCTCTGTACTGTACTGCTTCTTTTAGTAAATAAATTTCTTTTCTCGTCCTATTATTGGTTTGCATCCTTGCTTTCTTTTAATATTATCGTTTCCTCAAGGCATAAATTTTACATTTTTCATTTAATTTTTTTTGTTCTAGGTTTTTACTTAATCATTTACAATTATATAAGTTTTAATATAAATGTGTATATCTGTATAGAATATTGATGTATATATTCATATATTTATAAATGTATATAATATTTAAGCGTACATAAAAACAAACTATCTTGGCATCTATGAGGGTTTCATAGAGAGATAATTTGTTTTTTTTTAAAGTACATTCATTTTTTTCAAGTTTAATTTCCGCGTTCAAAGTTATACCTAAACTATAGAATAGAAACTAAACTTGTAAATATATGCGTACTTTCCCTTTTATTTATGGAAACAGAAGCAAAATTAAGATAAAATTTCGATTCATATCACGTCCTTTGTTCTTTCTTTTGCTGTATAACAAATTGGTATTTAGAAGTACTGATCGAGATTCCAACCATCTGAAGAGATATTTTATTACCAAAGATTAAAATTTTATTTTTCCTCTTCCCGGCTTCCTCAATTTTTTTTAATATCTCTTCTTTTTTATGTTGGTTGACCCCCTTTCAACATTTTCCTCACACTCGTTGTTTCATCTAGGTTTTAATTTATTCTCTCCTTTATCCGGACTTGTATTTATTGTTTTACAAAAAAAAAAAATTCGTTATTGAGTAGATATTAGACATAAGCCTAATATATATGCAATAATTTAATTTTATCGGATAACAGAATGAATTTTATATTTTCTATTTTTAGAAAAATAGACAAAATAAAAAAACGAACTACATAAAATGGAATTCAATTTTACAAATTGTTTTCCTATTTTATGGCTATTGGAATTTTTTGTGTATACAAATTTTTTCCGACCGCATTGTGTATACAAAAGGTATGTTATGTGATGACAAAAAATTTTAAATTTCGAATTTTCGGTGGAACGCACTTCTCCCTAGTAGGAAGTGTAAATTAACTATTTTTAGCGCCCTGCCGGTCTGTCGGTCTATTTGTCTGTGTTTGCAAACACGAACTGATTTTCATGGAATTTTATATGTTAGTTTATTTTGGCTATGTCACGGATTGATCAAGTTTTTGGACTATCAGGCTTTGGGAACTGGATTTTTTGGGGTCAATTTTAGATTTTTGCCATATAAACAGAAATAATCAACGAATTTCCTTGAAATTTAATATTCAAATTTGGAGTGTAAAAACAATGAACATATAAATTTGTTGGAACATATAAAACATATAAATTGTTGTTTGGCCGAATTTAAATATTTTATCATATCTATGGAAATAATTGATGGAATTTCTTGAAATTTGATATTTGAATTCTGGTTCTTATCGAAACTAACTGGCGAGCATTTCTGGGAAATCGGGCATGAGCATTTTCACTTAACTAGACAATACATATTGCGGTCGGTTACGTGCTTTGGTTCTTCTTTTTGGTTTAAAGATCTTTTTTTGGTTTAAATTTGCTTTTACTTCTTGAAATATTCTGCTAATATATGACAGTATTAGATATAAATATTTATATAAGTACGTATATGTACACATACATATTAAAAGAATTGGCAAAATTTTTATACCCTGCACCTTCGCGAAGTGTATATTTGCTTTGGTATAGAGTTTGTAACCACTTGAACGATTCGTCTCCGGTAAAGACATATACATATTTTTCCTCAGCGTGAAATTCTGCATTGATTAAACCATGCCCGTTCGTCCTCAGACCGCATGATAACTCAAAAACAAATAATGTAATCGACACCAGACTTTTACAAGTTGTTTCTTTTCTGCCAAGGACGGATGCTATTGTAAATGGGTCCGTTTCGGCCCAATTAAATATTTTAAAATTAATAGGGATATTAATATTAAATTTGGCAAAGTTGTGTCAATTTACATATATTCTAAAAATTTTAATGGAATTGCTGTACTAGTTCGGTTAGTTGTCATATAAATCCAAAAGCTAATTTTAAAGATTTGGAAAAATAATAAAGGTAGATTAATGAAACTTGGCAGTGGTGTGCCCAATTTCAGGACAGATATATCCCTGAAGTTTTGTTGGGATAGTTTGACAGATTCGGACAGCTGCCATGGAACTCCAAAAGTTGATTTAAAATATTCAAAAAAATAAAAAAGGTAGATTCATGAAACTTGGCAGCCGTGTGTCCAATTTCAGATTAAATAAATTTTTAAGCTCAGATTGCCAAGGTGCAAGGTATAATTTGGTCGGTTTATACCGACTGTCGTTTTTACTTCTTATAATTGATTCTGACTGTAATTTAACAAACATTAAATTTATATGAGCTTTGAATTATATATAATGTTAAAAATAATGTTTTTCTTTTTTTCTACAGATTGTTTTCATCACTAAATGTTAGTCGCTATAATTATATTCAGCAAGCGTGGCGGGTTACAAACAGTTTAGTGGTGGTGGTGGCCTTTTACCATTAAGGGTTGGAGGTCACCAAATAAGGCCACCTCCTCAAATAAATTTGCAATATTACGTAGTAATTAAATATAAATCCACACATTTAACATATTCAGTTACAAATACAGTAATAATAAAACTAATTTCATCAATAGTAGAAAACATTGAATCGAAATTAACATCGAGATTTTTTAGAACTGCAACCAAAACGACACCTAAGAAATTAGGTATAATTCTAACGATTGAATTTATTAGTAATAAAAATCAAAATTTAATCCTTTCGCAACAACAAATAAGTCATTATAAATTTAATTCTAAACATAACTGTAATATTCAATTTATTTTACATAAATTGATAACAATTGAAAAAATATTGCGCGAATTTTTAAAAAAGCATTTCTATCATAAAAATTTATTAAAGAAAAGTGAAAATAAAAGAGAAGAAAAATTTAATATTTATAAATTAAATTATAATATATTTTACAAATATTTAATAACGGTACTTATTACAGTAATAATCAAAATTATATTAAATAATTATAGTATTTGTATAATTTGTCAGTTAAATAATTATATACGTTCTTGTTATTATATTAATAAAAGTAATAATATTCATAATTTAAAAAATTATAATAAGAGTGGTAAAAACTGTAGTAATTTAAGCGAAAATAAATTGAAATGCATGCAAATGTGACTTCGGATCGTGGTGGTGGTGGTGGCGGTGGTTCATGGCGTCTGCCACCTGATGAAACATTACAAGTGCAAGATCCAAAACAAAAGAAAGAAGATGATTTTCCAGATGAAGGGCATAATTGGAGTAGTATTGTATTATCGTTATTAGTTATTGGTGTCGTTATAGCTGGTATTGTTACTGCAATTTATATATTAGGGTAAGTTTTTTATGAATTACTGAAAATTTTCTTTTAATTATTTTCTTTTCTCTGCTTATAATATATATATGTAGTAGTAACATACTAATGTAGTTCTAGTAAAACAATTATTTGCAATAATTCTATTTGTTAACAGAAATCTTGTTTCCAGCTATTTTATGTAAAAATATAACACTGAAAAGGACATTTCCTTCGAATTATCTGAATTACTTGTTTCAGAAGGCAGCTTTAGACTTTCATATAGAGATTAAATATAAAGTTACCTTAGACTTATATGCATATTTCGTACAAAACCGCCTTTCATTCACAAATTTTTTCAATTTATTATGCCATTGATTTAGAGTTTTAAATATAGAAACTCCTTAAAAGTACTTTTATATTAAATATGTGTAGCGTAATGTGTAAAAATTAATTATTAATTCGATTAAAATTATTTTCAACATTTTAGTTACGTCGATGAACTATTATATTGGTCTGGCAGACGTATGATATTAGATGAATATTTACAAGGTGAAATAACACCAAAACGCTTAGAGCCAGCATGGGTTACAACAACAAAATATATATTTCAATCAGATGATGGTGGTTTAGCCGTATTGGACACTGCCAATATATCTGTTTCAAATCTAGTTACAAATCATACATTAAGGCAATTAAATGTTATGGGTTATCAAGTATCATATGATCTGAAATACGTTTTATTTAAACATAATGTTAAAAAGGTAAGGAAAAATTATACATCTATTGATATTATATAATACCATTTAATATATTATAATATATTTATAATATAATGACGTAATTTATTTCTTGTCAACAAAATGTTTGTATTAAAAATGACAATATTCTTACGTAGCATATAATATATACATTATATATACATATATATATATATATATATACAACCATCATCATCACAATAAATAACTTATTATTCGAATTATAAAGAAATAAAAAAACTGTTTAAGTAAATCAATGTTAAATTATTAAAATATATTTAAACATAAAAGCATATAAAATAGTTACTTAACCCAGTTAGTTCAAGGTTGTTTTATGGAGCACGTGTTACTGAAGCCGAAGTAAAAATTATTTTATTTTAGATGAAAATTTTCCGCAATTTTTATAATGAAAATTCATTCAAAATTTTTTCTCCATTTCATATTATCAGTTCTACCTAAATTCGTTGCGTGATTTCAAAGTCTGCAAAATAAAATAAAAAGCAAATCTTCAATCACGCACATCGCAGAAGGAAAAAAAAAAAACAAAATAAAAAGTTTTAACGCGACTTTTCCTTTGTTTCTCATTTTGTACATATTTATTGCTAGTTACAAAACTATGTAGAACGGAAACAAATACTATTCTGACGCTCGAAAAATTTTTCCTTTTTTTATAAGTTTTAATCATAATACTTATTATTTTTGCGCGCTCTATTGTATATTTTATTTCCGTTCATATACTTGTATGGCTAGTAATTTTTTATGTCTTTTTGCTAATATCTTCTAGCCACGAAACTTATTTAAATTTCTTTAAAAATATTTTGACGCCCTTTAATAATAAAGTTGGGTCAAACCAATGGTTTGAAATGTAGCCCTTTTCCGTTTAACAAGTGAAAATACAGCCTCTAAAAACAATCTAGCTATTTACTCCATTAATAAAATTACTTTCATTTATATACGAATATATTTCAAAAATTGCATAGCTTTGAGAAGAGCATTGTATGCATTCGTTGAACTAAAACAAAAAAAAATAAAGAGTCGTTAACATAACGCTCGAAAAATAATTATATTTTTTTAATAGCACGGAAATCACTGTAGCATGGTACAAACAACATTTCTTCTAACGAAATAAACTATTTATTAGAAATAAACTATTTATCTAAACCTGAGGTCTGGAAGAAAAACTATAAATTTTAGTGGATATTTTGTTTTTGTAAAATTCAAACATGATATGCGACTGTAGAAGAAGTCGGGCAATACTATTCTGTTTAAGCTAGCATCATTACTGAAAAATTGAATTTTTAGGGTTTTGGGAAACTATAACTAGCTGAGAGCAAAATATAGGTAAAAATTTTCTTTTATTGAAATAAAAGAAAACCACGTATAAGGATCTATTGTGCTCCACCACCCGAGTGCGGGGCATGCTCTAAAACACACGCTCGAGACCCACTCTCCTGATGAACTCAAGCAACTTGTGAGGACCAGAAGACCGTAACTCCGCCACCGTTAGAGCAAAGCCTCCCAGAACCTCCCCCCTCCTACGAGCAAGAGCATCACACTCCCCCAGGAGGTGCACTGAGGTCTCTCCATACTCCCCACAGAATCTGCAAGCATCCTCATTTTCCAGGCCCAGCCGGCTGAGGTGTCCCCTAAGCCTGCACTGACCCGTCAAAATGCCGGTGAGGACTCTCGCCTCGTTCTTGCCCATCCCTATAATTTTCTTAAATCGCTTCTGGTCATAATCTCCCAGGAGCTCTTTGGCTTGCCGCAGCTCCGCAAGACTTCTCCAGCGCTCCGACCGCCTTCTTTAATTCCCAACGAATAGTATTCTGATTCCTTCCTTAATTCCCAACGAATAGTATGTGGTCCGATCCCGCAGAAGTGCTCCGGCCCTAGAAGAGGTGCGCTTGCCCCCTTCTTCGCAAGCGCATCAGCGGCCCCATTTCCTTCCACGCCAACATGGCCTGGCACCCAACACAGTGTGCCCCGGTTGCATCTGCCTAGCTCATTGAACTTCTCAAGACAGCCCCATACTGCCGCGGATTCAGTATGGGGCCTTCAGATACTGAAAACGAGTTCAGCGTTCCGATCGCAGCCCGGCTATCCGACATAATCATTATTTCCTTTCCCCGGTACCCCCTTTCTAGGCTGAACCGCACGCACATTTCAATGGCGTGCAACTCAGCCCAAAACACACTCGGAAATGTTCCCATAGGCTCGGAGAATTTGGTCCTTGGCCCCCGCACCCGTCACAATACTGGTCTTTGACACATCTGCGTACCATCTAATAACGTGTGTTCCAACTGGGAGGTCCGAAAAGTCACGCTCCCAGTCCCTTCTGTTACTCAGCAACGAGGCAAAATTTTTCTCGAAGTTGTACCTCCTTACCATGTCGTCCCTAGGCATCGATAGGAGCGGAACCTCCCCGAGAAGACGACCCCGATCTTCAAGGATATAGAAGTTTTGTAAAGGAGTCCACGGACGGAGTGAGTGAAACTAATAAGCAATTTTTTCAAAATATTTTGGAAAAAAGTGCTAAAATGAGAACATATGTAAAAAAGGTTTATAATGAATTCTAATTAAGTATTAACAAAAACGAATTTAAAATTAGAAAAAAAATTGCCACTATTCCTTATATGAGTATATATGTACAAGCTATCTATTGCTTATTTTACTTTTAGATTTTAAAATCTACTTATGTGGGAACTCACCCCCAAAAACCAAAAGAATTAAATGTAAATTCAGTTCTGAGTGTATTTTGGACCATTCATTTTTAATCAACCATTTTAAACATATCTTCAATATAGCGTTTATCAAAATTAAAAATCTCAATTTATTTTTGACTTCAAGTAAGAAATTTTTTTTTAACAACATAAATTATCAAATGTTTTCTTCATTATAAAGGTCTATTTTAAACTTTAAAATCTACAAAATGATTCGTATGCTTTATATATAATTTTTTTATTTGTGTCGGTCGCTTGAATAAACTACGTTTCAGTCAAATTCTTTCCAGAACTCACGTTAGGTCCTAAAATCATTTTTGTTATTGATTTCATCTGTACACGAAAAACATATCGTTGTTACAATTATATTGATCACAACTACCCTCACAGTATGGAAATGGAATTTGAAGGAAGTTGTGACCAAAAGTTGCATTAATTCCAACAAATATCTCTGAATAAAAATTGAAGAACTTTTCAATCGCACTTGCTCCTCGGGAAATCGTACCTACTTTCCTCTTGAGCGCCTCAATTTAGTTTGAAAATGAAATGATCATAACTTTCAAGTGCATTATTTTTTTCCCTTATAAGACCATACATTTTTCCCTTATAAGAACACCCCATACAATTTTAAATTTAAATGAAAACCATTTACAAAAATATTACATACTTATATACATTACGTGCTTTATAGAAATAAAAGCAATTTCATGGTTTTATGATGAGTTTTTTTTTAAAGGGCTGCAAAATGGTGATAAGTAATTGTTAATTTGTATTAAGTTTAACATAATTTTCATTAAAACATATGCATTAATTCTTTTCTTTACTTCTTGTATTTAGTTAAAAATAAACTCCGCTTAGGCCACAAAAAAACTTCATTTATACTCGTATGTTACAACAATTTTGTGATTAAAAAATATGAATTTTGCAGTAGTAGAAATTGAAATTACAGATAAAGATTTTAATTAGCGAATATTATTAATAGTTGGTACTAAATTAAGTTGGTAATAGTAAGTTCTCTTTATATATATGAATTACAGCAAAGTAATGTAACGCCTTTACAGTAATTATGCTTTTTAGAATGTGCCACAATTTTAGCAATAAAATTTTACAGAAAAATTTAGTAAAATTAAATTAAAGGTTTGCAATATTTTGCATATACAAATTGATACTGATATGCTGCCTATAGCATTGCCAATATACCGCATAAAAGTACATTATTTTTATTTTAGTTATGTAAATAGCATTAAATGGTTGAACGCCACTTATGTTATCAGTGGAAAATACGATGAAATTTTGAATTCACATACGTACGAGAGATATTTATTACAATTTCACCAAATTATTACAAAAAGAAAAGAATAGTTATGGTTTAGTCATTACAAGAATTTAATTGATTTATACTATAAACCCTAGGTGGTAAGATATGATGAACATTCGTGCCAATTTTTTAAAAAAACAAGCAAAAACGTTTCAGTCGGTGTAAACCGACCGAATTATATCCTGCACGTTAACAATTTGAGTTTAAAATTTGTTTTTGAAATATCTAGAATTAGCTCACTTTGTTATAAACCAAGTATTTGAACCTCACAAACCACTCTGTAGAAACTGCATGGATATGTCTGATCTATAATTGGACACACAACTGCCAAGTTTCATGAATCTAACTCTATTACTTTCCCAAAACATTAAAATTTGCTTTTGGAGTTGTATGGCAGCTACCGGAATCTGTCAAGTCATTGCAACAAAACTTCAAGAATATATGTGAACAACAATTGGGCACATGACTGCAAAGTTTCATGAATCTAACTTTATTATTTTTCAGAATACTTAAAATTAGCTGTCGGAGTTGTAGGGCAGCCACCCGAACCTGTCAAGCCATTCCACCAAAATTTTGGGGATATATGTAACTTGTAATTGGATACAGGACTACCAAATTTAGTGAATGTGACTTTATTATTTTTCCAAACATTTAAAATTGTTTTCTGTAGTTGTATGGCAGCTACCTGAACCTGTCAAGTCATATCACCAAAACTTCGGAGATATGTGTGATCTATATTCATGAATCTGATTTTATTGTTTTTCAAAATATTTAGCATCAGCTTTTGGAGTTGCATGGTAGCTACCCGAACCCGTTGTCCAAATTGGCCCAATTACAATAGCAGCCGTCGTTCGCGCAAAAGGAGCAACTTGTAAAAGTTTGGTGCCGTTTGCTGTATTCGTTTTTGAGTTATAGTGCGATCGGGCGAACGGACGGACGGACGGACGGACATGTCTAAATCAACG